GTTGGGAGGGCCACCAAGGCAAGCAGCACTGCCATGGTAGAAGGTGCAGGGCTGGTAGGGCCACCAAGGCAAGCAGCACTGCCATGGTAGAAGGTGCACAGTTGGCAGGGCCACCAAGGCAAGCAGCACTGCCATAGTAGAAAGTGCAGGGCTGGTAGGGCTACTGAGGAAGACGTGGAAGAACTGCTGCTTCCAGAAGATGTAGGGGGAGCTGCTTTCCAGCTCTGCCTGCCCAATCCCTCTGTGCCCAGCTTTGCTACTTGGACCCCAGGCAGCGCTTCCAGATCCTGCAGGGTCCCCGGATCACCACCATGCAGCAGCACCATCATTAGAACCATTATTTCCCAATTAGTCACTTGGTCTTCAAAAGATCGTGGAGAAAGAGTCGGCCCCAGGCAGGGGCTGTGCTTGGCCTGGGCTGCCAGAGCGTGGGGGGCGAGCGGGGACCCCCTCACTGGCTGGCCTCAGCGAGGAGACGGTGCAGCCTCTCCGTCACAGCCACCTGGCACCGGAGCGAGAGAGGACAGTGAGCGCGCGCTGCCTGAGAGGACTGCAGCCCTGTCCCCTGCATCCACCCACCACTGCAGCTCCACAGTGGAGCCACACTGGCTTTGCCCAGGCCACCAGCGCCGAGCAGGGTTCCTGGGTGTCTACTGATGGTGTCCGGCAAGAGGTCAACGTACCGGGTATGGCTGGGGGGCATGGAGCCGGCGGTGAGCAGGGCTGAGCAGGCTGAGAGACACCTGCGCATGGTTCCTCACCTCTGGCAGGCTGGGCAGCGGCTCACACACCTGTGGGGATGGAGATGGAGGACCATGTCCATGTGGGGTGCTGGTCATCCAGCCTCAATCCCCAACGAGCCAGCTCTAGGCTGGACTCTGATGCCACCACCTCCAGGGTGGCACCTGGGTTGTTGGGGCAGGGACCATCTCAGAGGCAAGGAACCCAAGGTTCAACCCTAACCCTTTGATCCTGACATTACTGCTAAGACACCACCACCCTGACTTGGTCCTTCACCCAGTGTGAGGGAGGACAACCCAGCACCAGAAGGCAGAGCCACCTCTGACCTGGCCGTCTCTGAAGTACGTGCGATGGAGGGGCTCCACGGTGGTAGGCACAACCTTGCTGGTCTCACCAAGCTGCCCCAGGACACGGATCTCCAGCTCCTGCCCTGCGCTGGGCGATGGCTCCTCCTCCAGAGCCATGAGGTCCATGAAGGGGTGACCTGCGGGGGTGCCAAGTTAGGGGCCAGCGCGTCCACGGGATATTGGGGACAGGGTTATGGAGCAGGAGAGGAGCACAGGTCAATGGGGCAACACCATGACAAGAGTGTCCCAACTCACCAGCAGGGTCGTAGAGCCGATAGATCATCTTAGTTCCTGGGATGGTCATCTTCTCCTCATCTTCTGTGACCTTCAGGCATGGGGAGCCATTGACCTCCACCAGCTGTAGGGGAAAGTTAAGGAGATGAGCATCTTTTTTTTTGTCACACCACCAGCTCATGCCAGTGCTGGGGACCATGTTGAGCTCTGTCCCCTCTGTGTGTGTCCCTGCATGGTGGGGAGACCACGGATACAAACCAGCTGAATAAATCATCAAGAAAATCCTCAAAACCACCCCAAAGTTGGACATCCTACCTGCAACCTTGTTGTTAGTGGTCTTATGACCCTTGTTTCCAAGGTGGAATTGAGTGCACTCTCAGCAAGTTTGCAGATGACATCAGGCTGAGTGGTGCGGTTGACATGCTTGAGGGACAGGATGTCATCCAGAGGGACCTGGACAAGCTCCAGAAGCGGGTCTGTGTGTGAACCTCATGAGGTTCAACAAGGCCAAGTGCAAGGTCCTGCACATGGGCTGAGGCAAGTCCCAGTATCAATACAGGCTGGGGGATGAAGGGATGGAGAGCAGCTCTGTCAAGAAGGACTTGGGGGGTGCTGGTGGGTGAAAAGCTGGACATGAAGTGACAATGTGTGCTCACAGCCCAGAAAGCCAACCGTGCCCTGGGCTGCATCCCCAGCAGTGTGGGCACAGGGCGAGGGAGGGGATTCTGCCCCTCTGCCCCGCTCTGCTGAGACCCTCCTGGGAGTCCTGCATCCAGCTCTGGAGCTGGTGGAGTGGGGCCAGAAGAGGCCCCAGCAGTGATCCAAGGGCTGGAACCCCTCTGCTGGGACGAAAGGCTGGGAGAGCTGGGGCTGGTCAGCCTGGAGAAGAGGAAGCTCCAGGAAGACCTTATTGTGGCCTTTGAGTAGCTGGAGGGGACAGCGACAGAGCTGGAGAGGGGCTTGTGACAAGGGCATGGGGTGATGGGACAAGGGGGGAGGGCTCTAAACTAAAAGAGGGCAGATTTAGATTAGATATTAGGAAGAACTTCTTCACCATGAGGGTGGTGAGGCCCTGGCCGAGGTTGCCCAGAGAAGCTGTGGCTGCCCCCTCCCTGGCAGGGGTCAAGGCCAGGCTGGACAGGGGCTGGAGGACCCAAAGGGCAGAGAGCTGCTGCCACCCCTACCTTGTAAACGCAGCCCAGCGATGGCTGCAGGGGACACGTCACCAGGTTCGTCCCGACGCCGACCACGTCAATCTCACTCCCCTGGGGCAGCAGAGAAGACGGTGGCCATCAACAACCCAACCCTGCCACTGGTTTTTTTAAGCCTGTGCCAAAAACCAGAGCCACGGGGCAGGTCAGAGGATGTTCTGCCCGCAGGTTCCCGGTGTCTGTCTGTCCATCTGTCCCACCCAGAAGCTATTTTTTCCCCCATCCTAAAAACTCTTCTCCATTCTCACCCAGGGAGAAAGTCCCAGGTGATTCTCACGTCCACCCCCCACCCCCGGAAACCTCAATGGATCCAGCAGAAGCCAAGGTGACGTCCCAGCTCCGACTGTGACTGCCTCACCTCCTGGCTGAACTCCTCCAGGCTCTGCTCGCTGATGTCGTTGCTGACGGCGATGGGGATGGTCTCAAACCAGGGCACCTGGAAGCTGGAAAAGGGGCAGGGGAGCGAGCGAGGGAGGTGGCGCAGAGTTTTGGGGGGGGGGACGACCCCCAGCTCTGCTCTTGGCACCCCCTTAAGCAAGGAGGTTCCCACTCTGGTGGGGAAGCCGGCGACCGGTGGCACCCACCCCAGGCTTGGTGGGGGACTCACTGAGCACCGCAGGCTCGCAGCACCCGGCGCGTCTCCTTGGCCTGGTGGGCAAGGTCCCCGCTGTCCAGCCGCACCCCGATGGCCCGGTACCCGAGCTGGTGCAGCGCCAACGCCACGGCGCAGAAGTTCGGCAAGCCGCTCCTGGCGTGGGCGAGGAGAAGGGTTAGCGTCCCTTGCCTGGTGGGACCGGGACAGGTCCAAGCCCTGCATCCAGCAATGGCGGTTGCTGTGGTGGCAACGTCCCTGCTTCAAGGCCACCAAGCAATGAGGGACGTGTCTGGACATTGACCTGGACAGGCTGGAGGGCCAACGCCACGGCGCAGAAGTTCGGCAAGCCGCTCCTGGCGTGGGCGAGGAGAAGGGTTAGCGTCCCTTGCCTGGTGGGACCGGGACAGGTCCAAGCCCTGCATCCAGCAATGGCGGTTGCTGTGGTGGCAACGTCCCTGCTTCAAGGCCACCAAGCAATGAGGGACGTGTCTGGACATTGACCTGGACAGGCTGGAGGGTTGGGCAGAGAGGAACCTGATGAGGTTCAACAAGAGCAAGGGCAGGGGCCTGCACCGGGGGAGGAACAACCCCATGCACCAGCACAGGCTTGGGGTGGACCTGCTGGAGAGCAGCTCTGCGGAGAGG